TTGGATTGATGCAAAACCAAAACATTTATTTTTTGCGGGGGGGGGGGGGGAAAAAAAAAACCTAGAGGAAGTTTACTTAGTGTAGAAACCTTTCTCTGTAGATGGAGAATCAAAAACAATTGCAGGTAGGAGGGTGGGGTGTTTAAGATGATCTTTTGAAGCAGGGGGAGGAAGGTGGATCCCCAAATCTGGCAGGTTTTCCTCTTCTCCGGCTAGTCTATATTTCACCGGCCTCGGTCCCGCCGAGTGGACTCCGGAAGAGGCTGTCCGAAGCCAGCAAAGAGGACGAGACTTAATTGTATTTCGGATAAGGCCTAGCTTTGGTTTTTATTTTTATTTTTGGCCTCCGTTAACAGTTGCTTCCCTGCCTTCCCTCTGGTGCTCTGATTTGTTCGTCTTGATGCCGAATTTTGAGAGATAAAAGACTCTCGCGGGGCAGGTTCCTTCCCCCCGACATTCAACCTGTGGTGCGAAGGGTGGCCTTCCAACAACAGTTCGTTGCTTTTTAAACCCGTCGTAATTTGAAAACTTTTAAAAAGGCTCAGCCTCCGGAGGGGAGGAAAAAAATATATTCTCAAATCCGAAGTGCCAAATGTGAAGAGAAATCTCGGTGAGGGGTGGATTACTACTTAGGGGGGTTTTCTGTTGCGCCGAAAGAGGAGAGGGTGGACGGAAGACTGAGAATATGAGGCCTCCTACTACCTGTAGGAGAGTAGGATGATGGCCCTGAAGAAGGAATTCAGCAGCCCTTAGTAAACATCAGCTGAGCTCCGGAAGGAAGAGGGTGTGAGAAAGAAACTCAAGGCTGTTCTCCTTTGATACTCTTTTGGGTATCAGAGGTGAAGCCGGTCGAGAGAAAGGGGATCTCTGCCAGGCTTTCAAGATTCTGTGGTTCTGTGCCCAAATAGGGTTTTTGGGGTGTCTGATTCCCAACCTGTCCCACCCCGAAGCGCTGACATCACCTCTGGCGGATGGTGGAACATCTGGCTTGAGAGTCAACGCTTGGGCATCCATGCACCCAGTTCAGCTCTCTTGGCACTGAATCGCCAGTGGCTTTTGGGGCAGGATGACCCTCGATGGGTTCTCCAACTAGCCCATCTCTGCAAGCCCTTACAGGCGGTCCTCGCCTTACAATAGTTCATTCAGTGACCGCTCAGGGTTACGACGCCACAGAAGAAAAAGTTCTTTTCACCTTTACAGCCTTCACAGCATCGCCACGGTCAGGCAATCAAAAATTTGGAATGCATGGCAACCGGTTCCTATTTTACGACAGTCGCAGTGTCCCTGGGCTCGTGGGATCCGCTTTTTGCGGCCTTCTGACAAGTGAAGTCAATGTGGAAGCCAGATTCCCTCAACAGCTGGGTTACTAACTTCACAACTGCAACGGTTTGCTTAACCACTTCGGCAAGAAAGGTTGTAAAACGGGGCAAAACTCACTTCGCAGCATAAATGTTTGGGCTCAGTTGTGATCGTAAGTCAAGGACCACCTGTATTTTCAAGTTTGTTTTTCTCTCTCTTTATCCAGCTCTCTCCGTCTATCTCTGTCTATCTGT